GAAAAATAATATTTTGATAATGAGCAAAATTGGGTCAAAAACCATGAATCAGAATCTTGAACAATTGTATTAAAACTGCCATTCAGTAAAATAGAATACTCTTTTGAAACATTTCATAAAAAGTAATGAATCCCTACAATTTTCAAATACAATTCTTGGCTTGAAACAAAACTGTTTCTCACAAAATTATGTACATTCAGCATATCTTTTAGATCTTCTCACCCAAAATAAAATTTAGTTTTTTTTCATTCCATATATCTTATTTCCAGAGAAATGCATACTGTTTGTTCCAGATAATTGCAAAAGGCTATCTGTGCTAGCAATTCCTAATTTTGAACTGATAGACTAAAGGAAAGGCAGTTAGCCAATACCACTCACTTCCAACTTTTGCATATTCTAATTAAACAGTGGGATTTGACCATCAATCTAATAATCCATCTAGAGTTCCAAATGTGAAACACAATTACATGACAATGAGATGTGAACCATGAACACTTGAATTCATCATCTGGCACACTGGTCACTAGACCACACCTGGCCAAAAAATTATTAAAAACACAAGAAATCTCACAAAACATTTAGGGACTTCCAGATTAGAAGGGAGGAAGAGGCAAACAAGCCTCCATGTGTTGCATGTATAAGAAGAATAAGAACATAGCTGTCCACATACTTGCACAGAAGAGGTTAGATAGCCAATATGTGTAGCATTGTTGGGGCCTGTTCAGACCATACCTAATACTCTCCTCAACCGGCAGACTAATTGGACCTACACCAGCTGCAGGAGGAGGACATAGAATACATGTCATAGATTGTATGATGTAAGCATGTGCATTGATTCAATAGAACAATCATCCACTGCAGGAGGAGGGAACAATGTATTAGGAATAATGGTTGGAGACGGCTTGAATGGGTAATGAAGAAAAACTTTATTATAACTTTAACATAACAGCAAATGTACAACGTTTCGACAAGTTTTTGATGATGACAAAACCTTGACAGAGGCAGGTAGATGTGGAGATGAAATATTCAAAATAAGAACATCGGTAGGCAGCATAATTCTTTCCTTACAAGTGGAGATATGTCAACAGGCAGAAACTCCTTGTTAGGAGAAACCAGCAAGGATCTCCAACTTGGGGATGTTCTTCAAATCCCTCTCAATAATAACAGCTCGTGAGGAATTCAAAGTAGCATAGGGAGTAACCTCAATGGGTATATCCCCAATGGCCTTTGAGTTCAGGAGGAGTTCACTGTGTTTAGGTGTAGATTTTTCCACCAAGATGTCCCCAGATTGTAGCTTATTAACTGACTTTGGAGAGTCAGCAAGCCCCTCTAATCCTTTTTGAATAAAAAAGGGAGACATTTGCCTTAAAGTTTAGTCTAACAAGGAATGCAAGATCAAAAAATGAAGTACTGGTTCAGAATGGGTTGAAGATTGCTGGATTTTCAAAACGTGGTCAGTTACCAATTAGCTTACTAATTTTTTTTTAGGATTTTGGGGATCCATAATGAAAGGAGAAAGATTCAGTGCCCACTGACTCTATCCACAATGGGGTCCTACGAGGGGACGTACTACAATGCAGAACAAGGTCACTGCAGTAACACCAGAGTTTCGTGAGCACTATACCCAGCATCGGACACAATGTCCACAACATCCATTAAGAATGCCCAACACCGGTACTCAGTTGACCCTAGCCCAACAGGACCAGCCGATTGACCCTGGGGAGGCCACCCATCTACAGGGATTCAAGGCTAAAATGGTGTGTCGCAGTGCCCCAGACACCATTCAACCACCAAGATCCTCTCCTCCCCTTCACATCTGATGTGTTCAGTGCTGAGGAATAGAAATGAAGATCACGTGTGCAAAATCATAGAAGGAGCCAGTGAATGAGAAAGCTGTGTTGCCCTCCTATTGGTGGAGGGCTTTTGCTGCATAATAACATCATTATGCAGTAGTGCAATTCATGATAAGTCTCGTGAGTTTAAGTAAGGGTTGCCTGAAGGCTAACGGCATGCAAATCTCTAAGGCGGATGCACTGGGAAGATAACTATCTATGTGCAGAGGTGTGTATTGCCTCAGAATCAATATTTCTTTTCTACTTGATTCTAACTACTAAACTACATAATAACTTACATGTTTATCATATTGAATCAATAAAGTGGATCTCCTTTGTATTGTATTCTCACCAAAAAACAGACATTTCATAATACTTAATATAAAACATATCACATAATATTATAATTCAGAAACTAGATTTAGTTCTACTACTATAGTATTCTCATTAGTACACCATAAAAACTGTATGTATTGTGAAAATGTTTTACATTGCTTACCTTAATAAGCTGCAAGTAAGATGGCCGAAAGTTATGTGACCATTCGGACAAGCAGTGGGCCTCATCGATGCAAGCAAAAGCTACTGAAGGAAGATTCCGTGGAAGAATGTTACTGCCAGAAAACCCAGCACTTACAACAGCTTCGGGTGAAACAAGAAGAATGTGAGCACTTCCATCAGAGACTGCCTGTGAAGCCTGTTGACGTTGGCTATCTGACATACCACTATGTAAGCACACTGCCCTTAAACATGCTGGTAAGCCTGACACCTTAAAAATAGAATAAGACAAATTCTTGTTAAAAAAATGAATTTGATTTCATATTACAACTTTCTGTTATTTGTTCTTTCCAAACTGAGATAATAATTTTTGAATGTAAAGCATTATTTTATTAACAACAATACAGTTGCCAACAATACTTAGAAGTATAGAGAAATATTACCTGTCATTTATCTTTTTCTTTCATATATGCAAGTTTGTTTTAACTAAATCCTTTTAAAGCATTTTCATTTTCCAAAAAAAAAAAAAGATAGTGAGATGTGCTTGGTTGATATGGTCATTAATTACTGATAACTTTTGATTTAAGTTATTTAACGAACACTGTGCGGTAACAACTGGTTTCAAGAATGTTTCTCACATTATGTAATTCTTTTTCTTGCAGATTGTGTAATACCATTTATGAAGTATCAAACTAAAGGATAATCTCTTTCATACATGGAGAATTCATGAATTAATCTTGCCTTTTCTTACATGTTATTGAATAGTTTGTCTTCATTACAACTCTTATCAATTATTCTCTTCTAACAAGGTGGATTAATTTACATTTTTTTTGTTTTCAAGCTTAGGTCATGTCTTTATAATACAGTTACATTCAACAAATAAACCAGAAGAATTCTATGATTATCTCAATCGTGCAATACAATATCAAGCTCTCAGGTATGGAGAATGTAATCACCTACATTTTATTCCAAATGTACTGGTCACTAGAATTAATAAAGTTCTCCAAACTTGGGTTTTAAAGAATAAAAAACAAAACAGATATCTCCATTTTATGTCTAATCACTCTAAAGGCTACAAAAACAGACATAATCAGAAATCATACCATGAGATGGCTGAAATGAAATTAGTAAGACCTGCAAGTAAAAAAAAACAACAGTTGTGTATAGAAATTTTTAAATTAATGGTTAAATAATTTAATTTATCAGCAAATCACCACCATATAATCTAAAGAAGGCAACAACGTATTTCAATTCAACTATATTTTTCTGAAACAAGTTTCAAAGGATTTTGCCAAAAATACAACTACAAAGTATGGTTCAAATCAAAACTTGTCAAAACACATCTGGAGTAAAAACTTCTGTAACACATGAAAATATACAGAAAGTGGTATAATGATTAGCATGTAGCAATGATAAGAACTATGTTGGTGAAACAAGAAAACAAGGATATAACAATGCCATTATTACATGATATATCACAAGTTGAAAAAATTTAGGTGTTACCACCTATGCTATGAATATTGTAAAAAAAAAGGGTATGAAACAGTCTTTCTATCTGAAACAAATCAGTCTAAGAGACAATATGCAAGATGA